CCCCCCCCTTCCCCCCCCCCCCCCCCCCCCCCCCCCACAGGAGGAATGCCAGGGCCTGGTCACAATTGCAACCCTGGTAGTTCCAGTGCTGTCAGTGTCTCTGTCCAATCTTGGCAGGGTTGGGTCCTGGGCCTGGATTAAACTCTTAACTATTAATTGGTCTTCAGAGAGTCCAGAACCTGGCTGTATGATCTAATCACAAAACTGGCCGAACAGATTTACAAAGGCTTTGGCACCTAATAGATGTGAGTTGTTTTATTTTAGCGGTGTTGTTATCTTATGTCACGTTCTTTTTCCCTTCAGCGATGCACCACCCCTATCATTTTAACAGCAGCGGAGTCCTCTCCTGGGACTTCAAAAACGAGGTAAAGATCTCCATTCCTTGGTTCCTGGGGCTGGCGTTCAGGACTCGAAACTCAGATGGGGTGTTGTTACAAGCCCATGCTGGACAGTATACCACCATACTATGCCAGGCAAGTCTACAGCATTTTCTCATCACATAGGTGCCCTATAGATGTGGCTTATGTCATCTATATCTACCTTATTCCTGTACCTACAGCTGGTCTCTGGCCTGGTCTCCTTCTCTGTCAGCCGTGGCTCCTCCAAAACCTCCACCCTTCTTCTGGACCAGATGCAGGTGAATGACGGGCGGTGGCACGACCTCCAGTTGGAGCTCCGCGACGTCCGCAGTGGGCGTGACACACGTTACGTCGTCACCATCATCTTGGATTACGGCTTCTATCAGGTAACATGGCAATAGATGTAATCTGTCAGCACATATGATGCACCATTTTCCATTTTTGAGCAGGAACTGAATCCAAAGGCCAATTCCAGTCTACAAATGTATATATAACCCCCTGCAGTAATTGCCTTCCACCGCATGATGTCCTCAGTCTTTAGGTTGAATGACACCCAGAGCCATTCAACCCAGAAGACTGAGGACATACTGTGAGTGCAGGTTGTCATGCCTGATAACTAATAAAGTTTTGTTTGTCCTGTCATTCTTTAGGATACAGTCGGTGTTGGTAATGAGCTTCATGGACTGAGGGTAAAGCACCTCTACGTTGGAGGCATTATAGGAGCCAAGGAAGTGCAGAATGGACTGGAAGGCTGTATACAGGTGAGAAACACAATTGCTCCTTACATTGGTGGTCAGTGGGAAGAATGCTCCTTACATTGGGGGTCAGGGGAAGAATGCTTCTTACATTGGGGGTCAGGGGAAGAATGCTTCTTACATTGGGGGTCAGGGGAAGAATGCTTCTTACATTGGGGGTCAGGGGAAGAATGCTTCTTACATTGGGGGTCAGGGGAAGAATGCTTCTTACATTGGGGGTCAGGGGAAGAATGCTTCTTACATTGGGGGTCAGGGGAAGAATGCTTCTTACATTGGGGGTCAGGGGAAGAATGCTTCTTACATTGGGGGTCAGGGGAAGAATGCTTCTTACATTGGGGGTCAGGGGAAGAATGCTTCTTACATTGGGGGTCAGGGGAAGAATGCTTCTTACATTGGGGGTCAGGGGAAGAATGCTTCTTACATTGGGGGTCAGGGGAAGAATGCTTCTTACATTGGGGGTCAGGGGAAGAATGCTTCTTACATTGGGGGTCAGGGGAAGAATGCTTCTTACATTGGGGGTCAGGGGAAGAATGCTTCTTACATTGGGGGTCAGGGGAAGAATGCTTCTTACATTGGGGGTCAGGGGAAGAATGCTTCTTACATTGGGGGTCAGGGGAAGAATGCTTCTTACATTGGGGGTCAGGGGAAGAATGCTTCTTACATTGGGGGTCAGGGGAAGAATGCTTCTTACATTGGGGGTCAGGGGAAGAATGCTTCTTACATTGGGGGTCAGGGGAAGAATGCTTCTTACATTGGGGGTCAGGGGAAGAATGCTTCTTACATTGGGGGTCAGGGGAAGAATGCTTCTTACATTGGGGGTCAGGGGAAGAATGCTTCTTACATTGGGGGTCAGGGGAAGAATGCTTCTTACATTGGGGGTCAGGGGAAGAATGCTTCTTACATTGGGGGTCAGGGGAAGAATGCTTCTTACATTGGGGGTCAGGGGAAGAATGCTTCTTACATTGGGGGTCAGGGGAAGAATGCTTCTTACATTGGGGGTCAGGGGAAGAATGCTTCTTACATTGGGGGTCAGGGGAAGAATGCTTCTTACATTGGGGGTCAGGGGAAGAATGCTTCTTACATTGGGGGTCAGGGGAAGAATGCTTCTTACATTGGGGGTCAGGGGAAGAATGCTTCTTACATTGGGGGTCAGGGGAAGAATGCTTCTTACATTGGGGGTCAGGGGAAGAATGCTTCTTACATTGGGGGTCAGGGGAAGAATGCTTCTTACATTGGGGGTCAGGGGAAGAATGCTTCTTACATTGGGGGTCAGGGGAAGAATGCTTCTTACATTGGGGGTCAGGGGAAGAATGCTTCTTACATTGGGGGTCAGGGGAAGAATGCTTCTTACATTGGGGGTCAGGGGAAGAATGCTTCTTACATTGGGGGTCAGGGGAAGAATGCTTCTTACATTGGGGGTCAGGGGAAGAATGCTTCTTACATTGGGGGTCAGGGGAAGAATGCTTCTTACATTGGGGGTCAGGGGAAGAATGCTTCTTACATTGGGGGTCAGGGGAAGAATGCTTCTTACATTGGGGGTCAGGGGAAGAATGCTTCTTACATTGGGGGTCAGGGGAAGAATGCTTCTTACATTGGGGGTCAGGGGAAGAATGCTTCTTACATTGGGGGTCAGGGGAAGAATGCTTCTTACATTGGGGGTCAGGGGAAGAATGCTTCTTACATTGGGGGTCAGGGGAAGAATGCTTCTTACATTGGGGGTCAGGGGAAGAATGCTTCTTACATTGGGGGTCAGTGGGAAGAATTCTCCCCTTACAGAAAGCTGGAAAGATCATTAGTGTCAGTGGTAACTTATCACGAAGTCAGAAATTGCTCATTGCTTCTCCCTCATTGCAACCTCTGTAGGAACCCTATGCTTCCAGTGAACCTTGGTAGTGAAAGATTGCATTAGACAGTTGTCACCAGAACAGGGGTCTCCATTGGAGGATTCATCCTCACTTCCTGTTGCAGTTACAAGACAGACAACAATAAAAACATGACAGAGGTCTAACCCTGCCACGTTCAACCCGAAAAAAAACAAAAAAGGTTTTTGCTGTGGACACTCAAATGTTTATATTTGGAATCAGATTTTCTAACCACCTTCTTCGTCTTTGTAAAGGGCCTCCGTCTAGGCGAGACATCGAGTGGGATCACTTTGCCCAAACCCAGCAACATTGTGAATGTTAAAACCGGTTGCAGCGTTCAGAGTGCCTGTGATCCCAACCCGTGCCAGGGGAACAGTTCATGCGTGGACACGTGGCTGGGCCATACTTGCGTTTGCAACCCAGGTATGTGACTCAATGGGTTATGTAAAAGCAATACACTGGATATGAAGTTTGTGGACAGGAAGTGGCCGAAAGGGATGGAGGAGATCAGCTGTGCTAGCTGTGATACATTGTGCTTTAGCAGACTAAATGTCATCCTGTTATGGTAAGGATCCGATTCAAGTCCTAGTAACAGGAGGGTTTTGTTGCCTCTGCAGGTTATTTTGGGGAGAACTGTGTGGACGTTTGCCAGCTGAATCCATGTGAGAACAAGGGGCTGTGCCGTCATCAGCCAAACTCCACTCCGGGTTATACCTGCGAGTGTAGCGGGAGCCACTATGGAAGATACTGCGAGCACAGGTAAGAAGGCGGCTCATTGTAGATGAAGGAAACATTATCGTAGGGCCGCAACAACGAATCCATTCAATCCATAATAATGGCAACTATTCTCATTATCGATGAGAGAGAGAGAGAGGAGAAAGAGAGAGAGAGAGATAGGAGAAAGAATAGAGGAGGGGGGGGAAGAAAGAATAGAGGAGGGGGAGAGAGAGAAGGGAGAGGGAAGAGAGAGAGAGGAAGGATAGAGGAGGGGGAGAGAGAGAATAGAGGAGGGGGAGAGAGAGAGAGAGAAAGAATAGAGGAGGGGGAGAGAGAGAGAAGAGGGAGGAGAGAGAGAGAAAGAATAGAGGAGGGGGAGAGAGAGAGGAGAGAGAGAGAAAGGAGGGGGAAGAGAGAGATGAGAAAGAAGTGAGAGAGAAAAAGAGGAGAGAGAGAGGAGAGAAGAAGAGAGAGAGGAGACAGAGAGAAGAGAGAGAGGAAGGAGAGAGAGAAAGGATAGAGAAGGAGAGAAGAAGAGAGAGAGGAGACAGAGATAAGAGAGAGAAAGGATAGGGAAGGAGAGAAGAAGAGAGAGAAAGGAGAGGGAAGAGAGAGATGAGAAAGAAGTGAGAGAGAAAAAGAGGAGAGAGAGAAGTGAGAGCAGAGAGAGGAGAGAAGAGAGAGATTTTTTTAATGCAACCAATCGACTAAATGAAAAAATAATTGGGCAACTAATCGATTATGAAAATAATTGTTAGCTGCAGCCCTACACTATAGCAGGTGCCCTCGATAAACTAAGGTGAGGGGGTGGACATCAGATTGCAGAGCTCAGAGAGGAGGAAGGAGAAGCAGCACAAGGAGCCAATTATCTGTGCTGTAGTTTAAGGAGTATTCTGATTGGAGGAGAGAGCAGAGAGATGAGCACAGCAGTCTTCTTTTCCTTTCACTATTCAGTCACAGGTAAGGGGAGGGAGTGAATTCCTACTTAACTGCAGCAGAGAAAAATCAGGTCTCCTCCACTGCCAGACAGACATGAAGACTGCTAGGGCTGTGTGGTGTGGCAGAGCTGTGTAAACCTCAGGACTGGGAGGACAGCAATACAGTTCCCTTATATGTATGTCATCCGTGTATTAAGCTTTAAATAAAGGCGTGCTGTGATTTCTCCCATAGAATGGATCACCAGTGTCCCAAAGGTTGGTGGGGGAATCGGACCTGCGGACCGTGCAACTGTGATGTCAGTAAGGGCTTCGATCCAGACTGCAATAAAACAAACGGACATTGTCTCTGCAAGGTATGGAGGGACACTGACACGGGCTCAGTTCAGTATTGTACACGCGTGTGGGTTATGGTTATCTGAAAAGCGGCATTAATTTATTGGGAGATTGGTTGATTGAATTTTTAACCTCTTGCTGTTATTTTTGCTACTTAAAGCAAAACTTCTGGGGGGGATGACATATATAACGCAGTCTGTCGCTAGAATTAACACAGCAGTGTTTGTCCCCCCGTAACATAGTTTCATTACCTTACCAGTAGGTCTGTTATTTTTCCACTTCCTGTAACAAGGTGACAACGCCTTTCGCTCTGCCGTGAAATTGCACAGAGGCAGATGCATAATGGGATTTGCAGTTTCACCGCAGCTGGAAGACTGGAGTTTGACCTAGAGAATACAAATATGAATGAATCCAGAAAGAAACGGCGGCATTCCATAAAAATTTAACGTGGATGTAACTTTATTGATTCAGACAGAAGAGAATACCTAACCTGGACCCCCCTCCTTCGACACTTTTCACCCACAAGGCAAGACGATCGCTATGGTTAATCCCAGACAATGACTCTATGCCTGTCTGTCCAGATTAATAAAGTTACACCCGCTTCTTCTTTCTGGATTTACTGGTAGTTGGGCCATAAGCCTGGCTTTTGGCCTCCAGCATTCTCAGAGGGTGACCCCGTATTATGGGCTTGCTAGCGGGTACAGGAAGGTGCTTTGCGATGTTGCCGCTAGCCAAAAAAACCTTTATTTTTCCCATGGTCGGTTTTCAATGTCTTCTCATTGCAGGAGTTTCATTACCACCCTAAAGGAAGCGATACCTGCCTGCCTTGTGACTGTTACCCCATTGGCTCCTCCTCGAGGTCATGTGATGCAGATAGCGGACAGTGTTTCTGCCGGCCCGGAGTGATTGGACGCCAGTGCAACAGCTGTGACAATCCGTTCGCTGAGGTCTCGCCAAGTGGCTGTGAAGGTGAGAACCGGTGGGAGGCGCGAAAAACAGCACGAGGGCAGCTAGAGCAGATATAAAGCAACATGTCTGAGGGGTAAAGAGGGGCATGCAAACTACATAGACCTGACTTTCCATAGAAATACAATACAAAGACAAAAACATGTTGGTTGCAGTTGGACGTCAGGCTAACTTTGAACCTGTGGTCCTCCCATTCATGGCAGAGGGAAAGGTTCACTTTAATGGCTCCGTAACCAGCATCTTATAGTTAACTTTGTTTTCACTCCCCCACTTCAATTGTGATTCAAAGCTTACAAGGGCTGCGGACCCTCTCCCTACCCCCTCTGCGTGACCACAGTGGGTGCCTGAGTGACTAATTAAAAAGCATCAGCACTGTCACATGGAAGGTAGGGAAATCAGTCACATGCTACGTAGCTTGTCATATGTCTTTGGTCCAGCAGCTGATCGGAGCAGCAAGGGCGCAATAGAAATGTACTGCTGGTGGTATAAGCCACCATCAATGTAATTCTGTTGCTTTGACCCCTCATGACCCAAGCACGGGTTCATATTAACCCTTGGGTTCATCTTAGCACTCCTATCCCCCATGCCCTGAACCTTAACCTCTGAGATTTTTCAAAACCTGTACTTACCTTGCTCTTGCTGACAGTATTCTGTGCTGGTTGAGCTAAAGAAAGTCGCACATCTGTTTTGTTATTTTTGTACAATGCTTCAAAAAGTTAATCGTCAGTTCCATACAGTACATACATTGCAAGCCGAAGTACATAACCCTATGGCAGATGCTGCTCTATCTTCACTGATGCGTTTCACCTCCACCGGGGCTTAGTCATATCTCTTTTACTTACCTTGATCCAACAGCTGCGGTTCCTCTGTTTGTTTACATCCAGTGCAGGTCTATACTGTCCTGGTCGCACCTGCACATTAGTCCCCCATAGACTTCTATGGGGCTGTGTTCCGAGGCCGGGGACGATTAGAGATCGTCCAATAGAAGTCTATAGGGCTATAATACGCAGGAGTGACCAGGGCAGTGCAGACGTGCACGCGCTGGATGAAAACTAACAGTGAAAACACGGATGTTGGATCAAGGTAAGTATGAATATATGGGAAGAGGGTAGGTTAGGTCAGTTGAAGAGGGCAGTACAGATACGAGGGGAGGCCAATAAGTTCTTACCCTCACCATGATCTAGATGTGCTAGGGATCTGAAATGTTGCAGGTTTATAGGTGGATATCTTAGTAATATGCATGGTAATTTTTGTTTTTGTAGGCCGTGGTAAATTATAGTTAGAGCCAAGAGAAATGGAGTAGGTGTCATGCCGGACATTGTTGAATACCGAGCCGTGATTAGGTTCCTCATTTTTAAGGGAAATCTGCCCAAATGATCCATAAATAGATGTCAGCTGTGTATGGAGAGGATTGTCCATGGGCTATGAATCTCTGCCCCATCCACCTTACTCACCTGACATGGAACCTTCAGGGGCAGAGATTCATAGCCAATGGACAATTCTCTCCATACACAGCTGACATCTCCTCATGGATAATTTGGGCCGATTTCCCTTGAAGATGGAGGAACCTAATCACGGCTCGGTATTCAACTTTGTCCGGCATGACACCTACTCCAGTTCTCTTGGCTCTAACTATAATTCGCCAAAAAGTGCCATGCATATTACTAAGATATCCCCCTATAAACCTGCAACATTTCAGATCCCTAGCACATCTAGATCATGGTGAGGGTAAGAACTTATTGGCCTCCCCTCGTAAGTGCTCTTTGTTTTAATGTGCACTTTTCCTCATAGATATGACTTAGATACACTTTTATGTGTCTTAGTCATAGTATGTGGCAGTGAGCTTTTGGCAATAAGGGAAAATGCTATTAAAGAGGGACTGAGAACAAAAACCACACAGGGCATCTACATTTCCCTGCACTCCATCCAAGATGGAGTTCTCCTTTGATTAAGAATATGTAAGTTAACTTAGAGACAAATTCCTAACATTGTATGGCGTTTTCTATAAAACAGAGTGCTGTGCTATATTATAAACCACAACTCCAGTCATGATGAATCTACAAACACAGTAGAAATATGGCGCAGACAGAGAATGAAGTATCAGCTGCCTTTCCCGGTGAAATGCTCAATGTGGATTGTTGGACTCGGACACCCCAGCAGGTGATGTCACAGCGGTGATGTGATAAGTAACCTGTGTCCCTTTGCCTCACAGTGATATACGATGGCTGTCCCAGAACACTAACATCGGGAGTTTGGTGGCCGAGGACCAAATTTGGACTCCCTGCTGCCGTTCCTTGCCCGAAAGGCTCCCTGGGTGAGTAAAGCAAGGGCTGCAATCCTGAAACCCAAAAAAATGTTTTAGAGTCTATTATGTCATCATCCTCCTCCAGACTGAGAACCAGACAAAATCTGTCCACCCGCTCAACAGATTGCTCCAAATTAGCATTTCACTGCAAATATTTCCAGCAATGTACGCCAGACTCTGAGCAGAACATTGCTAAACATTGCTGACTGCTGCCTACCTTGTTTATGCGTCGCTGTCAGTCTGCGATCAGGGAGCTGGAGAGAAGCCCTGCGGCTTTTTTTACTGTTGTGTGAGACGCCAGGTAATGCGCTAACCTATTATTGTGAAGCTCAGCGCCTCCTGAGCCGCCGCTTGTCTCCGTATGATGGAAGCTCGGAAATATTCTGCAGTTTTATTACTGTGTGCCCCGTCCTCTAGAGTTCACTGAGTCTTTCCAGGTACTTAAATATTCTGTCCAACCTCCCTCCTTACCCTCTCTTCTCTCACCTTCCTATCTTCCTTTTCACTTTACCCTACCCAACTTTTTTTTAATCTCCCCTCCCCTTCTTTTTTTTTTTAAATACTTTGTTCCAATTCTTCCTTTTCTTCATCCTTTTCATTTTGATACCTTTTTTTATTCACTTTATTTATTTCCCTTTCTATCTGCTTATCCCTTCCCCTTCATCCCCCTCTCTTCTTATCACCTTCTGCTTTTCGCCCTCTCCTTTCTCTCCTCTTTGCTTTCATCTTCTCCCTCCCCTCCAATCACTCTTCCTCTACTCTCCCCTCTAATCACTCTTACTCTACTCTCCCCTCCAATCACTCTTCCTCTACTCTCCCCTCTAATCACTCTTACTCTTCTCTCCCCTCTAATCACTCTTACTCTTCTCTCCCCTCTAATCACTCTTACTCTTCTCTCCCCTCCAATCACTCTTCATCTCCTATCTTCTCCCCTCTTCTCATGTTTCCTCTCTCCTCCCCTCTTCTTTTGTCTTCCATTCTCCTTTCCCTTCTCTCCTCTTTCCTATCATTTCCTCTCCTCTTTCCCCCTCACCTCCCTTCTCTCCTCTTTCCTATCTTCTCCTCTTTCCTCTCACCTTCCTTCTCTCCTCTTACCTCCCTTCTCTCCTCTTACCTCCCTTCTCTCCTCTCCCCTCCTCCTGTCATCTCTTCTTCTTTTCCTCTTTCCTCTCCTCTCTTCTTCTCTCCCCTGTCTGCTATCCTTTCCCCTCTGCCTTACTTTTCCTATTCCCTCTCCTCTTCCTATTCTTTCCTTTTTCTCCCCTGCCCTTTCTTTCTTCTTCTCTCCTCTTCTCACCTCTTTGCTGTCTTCCCTTCTCAGTTTTTTCCTCTCTTCCCTTTCCTTTTCTATTCCCTCTCCTTTCCCCTTTGCTTGCCATTCTTCTTCTCTGCCTATTCCATTGCTTTAATCTGCTCTCCCTTTCCTCTTCCCTCCATGTACTTGTCCTCTCCCCTTTGCTTGCCTTTCCTCTCCTCTCACCTTTCCTTTGCTTTGCTTTTAGCTGCTCGATCCTCTCCTCTCTCCTTCCCTCCACTCCACCCCTCTCATCTCCATTCCTTTTCTTTCTCATGTCCTCTACTGCCCCCTCTTGTATTTCACATCATCTCCTGCCCTTTCACTTCCATCCGTTTTACTCCTTTTTACTATCTTTATTCCTCTCTTCCATTCCCCTCTTTCTCCCTTCCTCCCCTTTCCATCTTTTCTATTCTTCTTTGCTTCCTTACACTAATGCAATGATAATATGTGTCTAATGAGAACCCTTATTAAAGATCAACAGTTTGTGAGAATCAGGGTTCACCGTGTGGTTTTAATTGGTATTTTTCCTCTCCACCCCGTGTCCCGTCTCCACTTTCCTTTCCACATTATTCAGGCATAAGAGGAAGAGGTGAGGATTTGAAATACTAATTACGTGGCTTCCTGACTACATGGTGTTTTACTTTACAATGAACTTGATAAACTCTCCTGCATCCAGCACCCCTAAATTCTCTTGCCTTGCCAACCTTCCCTACAGCTCAGTTATGAAATGTGTTTCAGCCATTCCTTACTAACCTGCTTCCTTAACTATTCCCATCCAAGAGTAAAGAGTTACATTTGAGTGGAAAGTTAAGAATTATAAAAAAACACTTTTGCCAGGTGTGAAACATCAGCATTTAAATTGGTGCAGAGCACACGGACTACCTATTGGGGGGCACCAAATTGAATGTGAGTCTTTACCTTATTTAGATCGCCATTCTGCTCTGTATATCCCTTTGGGAAAGTGTTCCCTGATTCTGAGTGTAAGAATCGCACTCTAGACCGGAATCTCAATTAATGTACTTCAGTGGATGCTGTAAAGACCTGCGGATGGCGCCGCATAAATCAAGGGATAGAAGAATAGGCCGCCAGCACACCAGTGGCCCACTTCATCGTCCCGTCTTTGACATGGGATCACATACAAATGCATCATTTCGAAACTGTATTTGGTTCCTTCGTCACACTATTTTTGCCTGATGATGGAACCGCATAGGGTTCCGAAACATTGCATTTGTATGTGATCCCATGTTTATCCAAGATCAAATAAAGACGGGACGATTAAGTGAACCATCTGGACCATAAGCTGGTGGCTTATTCCTCTATTCCCTGATTCGGAGTCCCACCCTCTGTAGCTGGAAGAGACGAATGCTGCAGCTCGGAGTCACATGGCAAGAGGCCGCAGGGCTGTGAAAAGCAGGTTGATTCCATTTTTTCATGGATTCCGTAAACTGAATGGACGATCTCACTGTAGCACATTACACCATGATCAGTTTATTCTTTGATTTTACGTGTCTGGTGTTTTTGCTTTCCACTCAAAAAGCTTTAATACTAGGGTGGGCATAGCCTTCCGAAATCTGCCCGGATCTCACAGAAGCTTGCGCTTTGAATGCTGCCTTTCCAGCTTGCTGCGACTCGTCATGCGTATGCACTTCTGCAGCGATACAAAGGGTCCTTTATTTGAAGTCAACCTAACTTTCCCCCGTGTCCTCCAGGGGCTGCGATCCGCCACTGCGATGAGGTTAAGGGCTGGATGGAACCGGACCTGTTTAACTGCACTTCTCCGGCATTCATGGAACTCTCTGCACTGGTAAGTCAAAGCGTAGGGAATGTGACAACATTCGCCAGCTACAGTCTACCCTGTGCCAAGGGCAACCCTATTACTGGCCACGTATGAGGGTTTTTTTTTTTAGCTGTTTTAACTGGATTTTGATGGCAATAAACAATCGATTAGTTCAAGGCAACCTGCCAACGACTCTACTATATAAATCTATAAACTGTTGGTGGTACTTTTTCTTGGTCCATTTGATATTTTTTGTAATCAAAAACTGGCTTTAAGGGACTTTAATGAAATGTTGCAGTCTGTAAGCCAATATATAAAGATGCACGCAGAGATGGCTTTAAGTTGTGTTTTTGGCTAAAGCTGGAATCCAGGTACAAAGACTTTCATATAAGCATATTCGTCAATGACCATTATTGATATAAATCCACTTTGTGTGCACCAATGACCAGTTATTACCTTGGAAAAGTAGAAGTGACATCATCACTGTACTGCATATTGCCTGTGCAGAGAGCAGAGCTGTCTCCACCCACTACAGGCTGCCTGCAGAAAACTACAGGAGGGGCAGAGACAAGACCAGTCACTCTGGACAAGGAGAAAGAGCAGCAGTGAGCGGTCTTTATTACAGAAGGGGGCGGAGACTAGACCAGTCACCTTGCACAAGAAGAGAGAGCAGCAGTGACTGGTCTTTATTACAAAAGGGGGCGGAGACTAGACCAGTTACCTTGCACAAGAAGAGAGAGCAGCAGTGACTGGTCTTTATTTCAGTAGGGGTTGGAGACAAGACCAGCTACCCTGCACAAGGAGAGAGTGCAGCAGTGACCGGTCTTTACATGACAGATGTTCTAACCCTTCCACACACTGAGTGTTTGGTCCATCTTTCTTTATCTTGAGGTTCCCCTTTCAGTTTCTGCAGTTGAATGTGGTTATTAATGGGGTAAGCTAAAGCCATGTGTTGTGTTACCCTTCAGCTGGAGCGCTTGGAGAGGAACGAGATTGAGCTTAACACAATTGAGGCCAAGAAGCTGTCCCTGCGTCTATGCTCAGTGACCGACCACATGGAGCAGTACTTTGGAAATGATGTTCACACTACGCACCGCCTGCTGTCACACCTCATGCAGTTTGAGAACAAACAAGAAGGATTCGGACTAACCGCTACTCAAGACGCCCAGTTCACTGAGGTGAGGTCGGCTGGAGTCCTGAACACAGGGGCGATGGTCATACCATTGTGTGGTCCGCCATTAATCATCTGCCTATTGTCATGGCCCTTATGGCAAAATCTTCATTTTTAGGATCAATGGCCTAAAGGGAACCTGTGGCCAGGCTATGCACATTCACATATTTGCATATTCTTAACAAGCAGCATAAAAATTAGGTTTTGGAGCATTTAATTGTCAGTTCTTCTGGTCCTCTTTATGCTGCTCAGTTCACTCTGCTCCCCCCATACCTCCTGCACTGTGTTCACTTGAGCTATTAGAAGGCTTTTGAGTCACTGCTAGAAGAGAAGAGCAGGATAGGCTGAGCTGCTGAGTCCCTGCTTGGAGGGGGGAACAGGGAAGGTTGAGATGCTGCGTCACTGCTAGAATGGGGGAGTAGGGGGAGTTCAGCTGCTAAGTCAATCCTAAGATGGTAGAACAAGAAATGCTGAACTGCCGAGTCGTGACTGGGGGAGAAGAAGGGTAAGCCGAGCTGTTGAGTCAGTGCTGTGTGGGGGAAACAAAGCTACTGTGCCACTGCTAGGAGAGGGAGCAGAACTGCTCTATTAATGCTGGGTCAGTGAACGGCGCTACTGAATCACTGCTGGGAGAGCTGAGCTGCTGAGTCAATCCAAAGAGGGTAGAGCAAGAAGAGCTGAGCTGCTGAGTACTACTGGGTGAGCAGAAGGGTAAACTGACCTGTTGAGTCAGTGCTGTGCGGGGGGAAACACAACTACTGAGCCACTGCTTGGAGAGGATGCAGAACTGCTCTATTAATGTTGGGGCGGTAAACGGAGCTATTCAGTCACTGCTGGGAGGGGAAACCGGGAGAGCTGAGCTGCTGAGTCACTGCTAGAATGGAGGAATATGGTGAGTTGAGCTGCAAAGTCAATCCAAAGAGGGTAGATCAAGAAGAGCTGAGCTGCTGTGTCACTACTGAGGGAGCAGAAGAGTAAGCTGAGCTGTTGAGTCATTGCTGGGTGGGGGGAAATATAGCTACTGAGCCACTGCTAGGAGAGGGACCAGAACTGCTGAACTAATGTTTGGTTGGTAAACAGAGCTTCTGAGTCACTGCTGGGGCGGGAAACTGGGAGAACTGACGAACAACTTCAGTGCTTCTGATTACCCTAATATACAAGTCTCTAGATCAGCTTACAGAAGTGTGCTTATGTTATAGGCAAGGGGGCCATGTCTCTCTGTAGTGCCTGTATGTGTTGCTCTTTTTTTTTACCATAGATCTTGCTGGAGACCCTTTCTCCCTGTAGGACTTCAGGAAGACTGGGCCTTCATTGAAATCAATAGAAAAGAGGCAAACATAAGACGTATGTTGGCTTCTCGGGGTAGAAAAGTGGCAATTGGCCCATTGTAGGGTTATCATTTGTTGTAAGGTCTCTGTTATAAATTTGGGTGATCAAGAGAGCAACTAAGGGCGTTTGGGCCGATGATCACAGAAGTCCACCTACTCTTTCATTTCATGCTCCCAAAATTCATGAAAACTTTCACAGCTGAAAAAACTCCAATGCAGCATGCATTTCACCTGCTTCCTCTTATAATGTATTTAATGTCAGCTGACCTGCTTTCTGTTGTAGAACGTGCTCAAGGCCGGGAGCTCTGTCCTCATGCTTCCTAACAGGGAGCACTGGGAAACCCTGGTACATAGCGAGAGAGGCAGCGCTGGGCTCATGGAGCTGTTTCGGGAGTACACTGGCACTCTGGCCCGTAACATGAAGCTCACCTACCTGAACCCTGTTGGACTGGTGACTCCGAACATCGGTAAGTGTTGAGCAGATATTTTTTTTTCTTTGTGCAGCTTTTACAGTTGTCATTATAGGTTTATGACAGGCACTCGTTAAATACCAAATTCAGTTCACACTTTAGTTTTTGATAGAAGATTTTACTCTTCCCAAGTCTATCAAATTTTTGTTGCTGTCACTTGAACCCATTAAGTAGAATTCCCTTCACTTCCTGTCCCTGTGACAGCAGGATCAGAAATGAGGGGTGCCGTTATCACTGAGACAGAAAGGCTCAAAAGGTAATACAGGAAGAGCTGGTGTTGATGGACTTCCAAAGTGCTTCTTTCAGCACGTCTGTGGGAATGTAAAAGCTGCTGAAGCAGGTCAACTGCCCCTGTAGTAATTTCTGAATGATTTTTAGAAGTGTTTCAATTAATGTCAATAGAACGCTGCGTTTGCCCATCAATGTTTGTAGACACTGGCCCTAAGACGTGTTCATAATAAAATTCAACTTCCTGGTAAGGAGTCTCTCATTTTTAAAGGAGAACTATGGGGTCAGTGTTTTTCCCCATAGTTCTCCTTAGGGTAACGGGAGGACACAAACTAGCATCCTCCCGTCACCCTAAGCTCAATATACCGCGAGCTACAGCTCCCTATATACTGAGACGCCGCAGCTGGAGCGGATCCCGACTTAGACGACGGGATCGGCCCAGCTGCGTGAGTGACAGCTGGTTCTGCCTATCTAGAGGCAGAGCCAGCTGTCCCCGCCCCCTCCCCCGTCCGTTCCGCCAGTCAGCGCTGGCAGATCGGAGCGGGGAGAGGGGAATCCAGCCCCTCCCACTGTCACGGCAGAGAGCCGTGACAGGATCGAGAGGTGAGCGAACGCCGGTATGTGTTCGCTCACCTCCCGATCTACTGAGCCGACCTGTGACAGTCTCATTGTCACAGGTCGGCTAGAACTATGAGGTGAGTGGAAATCACTCGTCTCATAGTTCTCCTTTAAAGCTGAAGTTGATAATCAGTCATGGAATATGGCTTGTTTTACATACCCTCTAGGTTTTCTTCTGTTATATAAGTGAGCTTTAGCTGGTCTGATGAAGTAATTCTTCATTGCATCGTATTGTATTGTTGTATTGTATTGAGTATCATCTCACTGTGTCACCTTTTCTCTTTGTTGCAGTTGTAAATATTGAACGTGTGGACAATCAAATCCCCCCCAGAAGGCATTTCCCCAGATATCACAGCAGTCTGTTCCGTGGACAGACCCCATGGGATCCCCATACTCACGTGGTGCTGCCTGCTTCTGTCCTAAAGCCACCAAAGGTGGAAGGTAATGATGTCACACAGTGCCTGATAACTGATTAGACATGTAAGCTGCGGAAAAAAATTGGTGCGGATATTTCGTTATTTCAGGATTCGGATCCGAAATAAAATTTGGTTCGAGTTTCGGATGAAATCCAAATTTTCATTAGTTTCAGATGAGTTTACGAACATTTGTTGCGAATACCACAGAACACCATATACAGATCTTAATACTAAAGCGGAATCTCCTAGACCAGAATGGCATTCAGGATCCGAATTTACGAATACCATTTGGGAGCTCCAGAAAGCAATATGGGTCTGGGAGCCATATTAAAGCTGAGGCTCCCAGACCCGAATGGCTCTCAAATGCTATTCGGAAATCGGACTCTATTCGGGTCTTGGAGCATCAGTTTTAGTATTATGTATATATAAGTAGTATTCTATAATACGAGCGAATATTCGTAGCGGCAACATATATATTCGTAGGGACCCATATATACATAAAACTAAAGCTGAGGCTCCCAGACCCGAAGGGCATTCGGGAGCTCGGATAGTTCGGATAGCATTCGGGATCATTCGGATGCATTAAAACGAAAAACACACCTGATTGACCAAAAAAGTCACATGTCCGATTCAATTTAGTTTTTGGACGGGATCCGACTTTCGCATTTGAACGCATTTGGATGCATTGGAATTCGGAAATTCAGATGTGTCCAGATTTCGGAAAATTTGTACGAATTTTGATACGGAACTAAACGAATCGCACGTGTCTATAACTGATTGTTAGGGGCAGTGAGCCGGGGTCAGATATGACTGCAGGGGGCTCTCCCACCATATATAAACAAGGTTTTATCTTGAGGTTTCAGGAAAACATAAATAGTGGGAGACTATTATTTGAGATTTTATTATTATTGAGACTAGTACAGCTCTGTAAGGGTTTATAAATATGATTCTGTTATCCTGTCATGTTACAAATGCAAGGACTGCCATTGATGCCTTCCTCCTAGTTACCTGGCTGCCAATACTTTTTGAGCCACTAACCCGTACATTTGTGGGTGAGAAAAGTCAGAAGTCCTTATCTGCGTACCTGCTCTGAGTCAGCAAGTCAACCTATACAGGGTCAGCGATGACAGCCTCCATGTTTCTCTAATGTTTCTGGTAATAGATTTTTTTTCTCTTTTAAAAGCCCCCCCAACAGTTCTACCAACTCCAACCAGCCCTGAAAGTAACTTAACGACTGCTGCTCCCCCACCAAAAAGAGTGATCCCTGATCCGGAGCCCACCGCCACCATCCTTGTCCTGCTCATCTACCGAACACTCGGGGACCTGCTTCCAGCCAAATACAGCACAGATAAAAGGAACCTCAGGTGAGATAGTCCCCATCTGCTCCACAGGCCCCGGGAGGGACGCACAGACTGACATGTACTTCCTGATCTGCATTTCAGTATTGACAGTTTTATTGATTATTAGTTTTGAGGTAGACCTGAACTCAAGAAGTGAAGATTTGCTGTGTTATAGGGAACATCTAGATATGTTAAATTCACATTTTGTCTTAAATTCTTCCTGAAACAAAGCAGTGTGCCTCTCTGGTATGCGAGTGTGCCTCATCACTTCTGTACCTACAGCCTCATAGCTGTATATCTGCAGTGTGAGACCTGAGGCACCGCTGCCTCTGACTGCTAGTCTCAGGAGATTTGTAATGAGATTTAATGATGCCACTAATGTGCTGCACAGTGTTCTCCATGCTGGAGGCTCTGATATAAGGAAACAAAGCCCGGCCTCTACCAAGATGGCCGCCTCCGTACAGAGACACAGTGCAGAACAATCTCCCTTATTGACCGAGCACTGTATACTGTACAGGCAAACTGTTCAGCATACTTTTGTCTTGCCTGAAGAAGGGACTGCCTGGTCCCAAAACGTGGCTTTGTGCATGTGACATCATGCTCAGTCAATAAAGGAGATTGACTGCTATCTACAAATGGAGTGCGAGTGACTTTATAGTAGGGATGCACCGATACCGATACCAGTATCGGTGCCAATACCGAGTATTTGGGTGAGTACTCGTACTCGCCCAAATGCTCTGATACCTAGCACGAGTACTTCCTGTATCAGGAAGCCGGGCAGTGCATCATTACACGCTGCCCGTTTTCCTGATTGGCCGGGAAACGGCTCCATGCTCTCTCGTCACTTGTGATGAGAGAGCATGGATCCGACTTCCCGGCCAATCAGGAAGCCGGGTAGCATGCAATGACACGCTGCCCAGCTTCCCGATTGGTCAGGAAGCTAGCAAATCCGGGAGCCGGGCGCCGTGTAATGACGCAGCGCCCGGCATTCTGATTGGCCAGGAAGCCGGCGTCATGCTCCCTCGTCATCTCATGAATCATAATATTAAGAAAGTGACCTTAAAGCATTAGTTTGTATTGCTTTAGAAAAAATGTGGCCTGCCCCTTTAAGAAAAAGTATCGGTAATGGGTATGCGCGAGTACTTGATCAAAAGTATTGGTACTCGTACTCGGTCTTAAAAAAGTGCTATCGGTGCATCCCTACTTTATGGTATTTTGCATTTTGATGTGCGGAGGCATTCGCTGTCACTTTCGGCACCCCCCATTTTTCATTTGGGCTTTATCCGGTCAGGAGTGCGATTGGATCTACTACATTTTGACAGTGCAGAACAAGGTACGGCTGGTCAGTAATGGGGAGCTGCAGGGAGATCACATACAGTCCTGGTGACTAGTCCTTTACCTGCCTTTTTTCTTTGGGCACAGCTTCCAGAGTTCAGGTCTTCCTTCAAGAAACCCTGTCATGAGAGACGTTGGGCTGCTATTACTGAACTTCCAACATATTACTTACTTGGCTGTTGTGTTGATTCTTTGACTTTCCAAGTCATTGACTCAAACAAGCATGAGTTGCTTCATATGCTGCATGCTTGTTCTTGGTCAGTAGCCCAGCAGGCATTGTAATTAGACACAGCCAGGCAACAAGGACACAGCTTCCACAGTACAGGTCCTCTTTATATTAACCTATTTTTTTCCCTGCATGGGCAAAGCACAGCAGGTTCCCTTTAACAAAAGTGTTTGCTATATAGGAAGCTAACGGATGGTTCAGCTCAGCTACCTCTGTCCAGAACTAAAATATCAACCTGTTATGCTGCAGTATAATTATACAGTGCGATTAATATATTTATATATTATTTGTATTATTATTATATATACTTTTTGTTTCTTTTAAGGCTTCCCAAGAATCCAGTGATAAATTCACCCATCGTGAGTGTGGCCATCCTCAGAGATCAGACCTTTATCGATGGAGACCTGGAGGCACCTCTAATATTAGACTTCCAGCTGCTGGAAACAGTGAACAGAAGCAAGCCCGTCTGCGTACAGTGGAACCAGTCCATCCAGTACGTCTTCATCCTCTTATATCTCTCCCGGCCCAGCAGAACATCTACTGACTTTATATCTTCTGCACTCTCTGTAACAGGACAGACCCACAACAATGTCTGCACCACACAATCAGACCACAGCCAGCAATACATTCACAATATCTAAACCCAAAAACAACATTTTCCTATATTGCAGCTTACCAGTCCTTAGATGTGGTGTCTGCATTAGTTTGCTTTTTTGCAGGCTAAGTACATTTTCCAGAATTCTGGTGTCCTTGTAACTCCAAGCACAGAACATATTTTCAGTTTTCCCACCTACCTTCCGTGATCTACAAAAGAAGGCCTCACTATGTAATGGAGAGGAGGAGTGGAGGTGGGATTAGTAGTCCAAATCAGGATAGCAGCCTAGGGTAGCACTCTGCTCTTCCATAGAGTGAGTGTTGTCACCCAGGTGAGGTGAGTGTTGTCACCCAGGGACAGGAAGTGTGTTATTTAAAAGCTAACTAGGTGAAAAAACCTCATAAAGAAAAGTAATGCAGCCAGCACATCTAAGGACTGGTAAGCTGCAATGTATTACTTGTTTTTTGTTTTGGGTTTGGACTATACACGGTTGGGTATACACTTTAGCGTAAATCTGAGCTTCATCTGCAGGGAGTGAAAGGTGACAGATTTTGTTCAGATTCTCTTCAAGCAAAAGCCGGATTGTTGTCCATTACAAACCATTTTACAGTTACATCATTTTTGGGAGCTATTGGGTGCTTATTGCACTTGACTGTCATTTGCAGACTGCTCAATAAACCAACTTACTCTCATTGTAAAGGTCATAGAGCAAAACTTTATTCGGAAACACAAAGTACTAAGTCCTCCTAGAACTCATCATCATCATCTCCTTATTCTCTTTGTTTTTAGACTAGACTCCCCAGGAAGCTGGGCAGTGAAGGACTGCGAGATGGTCTTCCGGAACACAACACATGTGCGCTGCCAGTGTTCCCGGTTTGGGAGTTTTGGTGTTCTTATGGACGGATCACACCGAGAGGTAAATTCTAAACAGAAATCCCCGATGGCCCTTAGGGGGCAGCTAAGTGTTTTGGGTTTCCTTCACTGAATCTCAGCTACATTGGTCCCTAGTAGTGATGAACCTGGGCTTCGTGCCCACACTAAGCCCAGGCCCGGCTCAATCAGTTTTAACAGGCAAAGGAAGGGGGGGGTCCCCTGCAAATGCCGCTCTTTATTGGTCCGAGAATGGAGTTGGTTGTCACAGTTGTGAGCGGGCATAGACAAACTCAGGCGAACCAAGGTTTACATCAAAGCCACGCTCATCACTAGTCCCCAGTGCTTAAGCAGGTGAGAGGCTGCGGCTAGTGATTGATCAATTGCCCCTCACTGGACGGCATGGTGGCTGGGACACGGTGACAGTACTAGTTAGGTAATCTCGATCCTCCTGCAACTGGTTATTCTAACAGGATTGTGTGAAATGTTTTCGCCATACACCAGTTGTAGTAGACGATAATAGACCTGAAGGCAAACCGCCTTCTAAACACACAGTGGTAGCAGCATTACTGTGACCCGTAGCAGGTCTCCTGTAAAGAGACGCTGACACTTTGCCAATTCAGCCCACCCCCAACTAGGTATATTCACTCATCCCTGCTGCCTCCCTGAGTCCTCGCTTTGTGGCCCATGGGCTATAAGCAGCGCTTTGGTGCTTGTTATGTGGCCCTTGGACCCCAGCAGACTAGTGGGAGCGGGAACATTGATTTGTAAAGGGGTATAGCAGTGTTCTAACCTCATATAACATGTCCCCAGTCTCTCACTGTCTCCTGCAGTATTTCTTCAGTCTTGACTTTCCTATAGTATATCTGTAGTTTCTGACAGGGTCCACAGTTGAGGCGCCCCAATAACTCGCAAGTTGACAAACTTTTAACCAACTCCCAGGTATGGTGAAGGATGTATTCTTGTCATGTGACTGTACTCAAGCCAGTATATGGCCAGGCCGGAACACTGTCACATTGGGGGGGGGTCAGTAACATCCACCCATGTAAGCTCCAACACCAGCCAACACTGGCGCTTACTCTGCAGTGGTGCTGGTGGTCAATACTGATCACTTGGGCAAAGTCTTGGATACGTGAATGCATGTATTTGTTAGGTTCAGCAACACCCACATGTATAGGTGCAGTTTCTCTTTAAGCGGTGCAATACTTGTTTAATGTATACGTATCTATTGTTTGTCCATGCAGCAACTGGAGGGAGATCTGGAGACGTTGGCCATTGTCACATACACGTGTCTGACCATCTCGCTGGTGGCCCTTCTGACAACATTTGCAATCCTGACATCTCTTAAGGGGCTGAAAACCAACACCCGGGGCATCCATTCCAACATCGCTATGGCACTCTTCTTCTCCGAGCTGGTCTTTCTGCTGGGTATCAACAGCACAGAAAGCGAGGTGAGATGCAGATTTTATGCAGCATGAGGTATAATTAGCGGTGACTACTGCACAACACACACAGGAACCATGGGGAACAGAAGTAGCCCCCCTCCAGAAGGAAGGACAGTGTCAGCACCAATTCAGAGATGATTGGAGGATCTACAGCCGAGTGATACACAAATAAGATACATTGTTGTTCGTAGATAAGATACTTGAATGTATTTTTAAGGTTTAACTCCTGAGTTTGGCGTCACTTTAATTAATGAACCTTAAAAGAGAACTATGGGGTAAGTGTTTTTCCCCATAGTTCTCTTAACGGTCACGGGAGGACATACACCAGCGTCCTCCCGTGACCCAAAGCTCAGTATATCGTGAGCTATAGCCCGCTGCATACTGAGACCGCCGCAGCCGGGACGGATCCCGACATTACTGTCTGGATCCACCCAGCTGCGTGAGTGACAGCTGGCTCTGCCTATCTAGAGGCAGAGCCAGCTGTACCCGCCCCCTCCCTCGTCCCTTCATCAAGTCAGTGCTGGAGGATCGGAGACGGGAGGGGGCAATCCCTGCGGGGCAGCGGTGACTGACAGTCACGGCTCTCTGCGGGGACAGGATCGAGAAGTGAGCGAGCGATGGTATGCGTTTGCTCACTTCCTGATCTATTGAGCCGACCTGTGACAGTTTCATTGTCACGCGTCGGCTCGAACTATGAGGCTGAGTGATTTTCACTCGCCTCATAGTTCTCCTTTAACTCACAATAATCTGTATATGAAGGAAACTAAATGCACTGTGTTAGTAATATTCTCCTCCATCCTCAGTTCCTCTGCACCGTCATCGCCATCCTGCTGCATTACTTTTTCCTGTCCACCTTCGCCTGGCTCTTTGTGGACGAGCTTCACATCTACCGCATGCAGACCGAAGTAAGGAACATAAACTTTGGCGCTATGAGATTCTACCACGCCATTGGTTGGGGCGTCCCGGCCATTATTACAGGTGAGCTGCACGTCATTAGGGGCTGTGAAACATATGCTCGCCTAAAAAGCGATATTTCAACTATGGATGGATTTTGGTGGCAATATATCTGCCTATTTAAAAGAGAACTATGGGGGTAATCTTTTTATCCCATTGTTCTCTCTAGGGTCACGGGAGGTCATATACTAACCTCCTCCAGGGACCCAAAGCTCAGTATATAGCGGGCTATTGCCTGCTCTATACTAAGAGTGCCGCTGCCGGACGGATCCCGACAATACTGTGGAGATCCACCCAGCTGCGTGAGCAACAGCGGCCTCTGCCTATCTAGTAGTTTCTTTTTGAACATCTGCTGGGAAAATAACATTGACTTAAATATTTCATCATTTCAATGACTGGTCCTTGCAGGCTTGGCAGTGGGACTGGACCCAGAAGGTTATGGAAATCCAGACTTCTGTTGGATCTCGATTCATGATAAGCTGGTGTGGAGTTTTGCCGGACCCATCGCTGTAGTGATTTTGGTGAATATTCTTTCATTCAAGAAAATGTTTATTTTGTTTTACAATTCGCTGCAAGTTTCAAGTACAAAAGAGGCATACATTTACACGTGTTGGTGTGACAGTAATACTAGGAAGCCCCGTCTTCAACTATACTCTCCGTACTTCCCGGGGGGCACTATACAGTGATTGTGTGTCTAACAGTTGCCAATAAACATTTATGAACTATTGAACTAGTACAGGGGGGGGAAGGGGAGGGAATAGGGTTCAGCATAACATCGTAGGGGGGAGATCTGGGAGGGAGTCAATCCCGCTGTGAGAGTATGAGGTTGGGTGCCCTCACCCTGAATTGCCCTCACCCAGAGTGCTTGGTGAATATTCTTATTAGCACACAATGTAATCATGAAGAACTTTTCTTTAGCCCCAACTGATACTTTGTAACAATTCTCCTCTCCGTTGTGTCTTCTTCAGCTGAACGGCGCCATGTTCCTTATGGTAGCCAAACTCACCTGCTCACCCGGACAGAAGGAGGCCAAGAAGACGTCCGTCCTGTAAGTCCTTTGTTTCAGACCATTTATATCGCCTGTCCTACTCTTCTACTGCCCACAACGACTGTTCAGATTCTTGTATTTTCTAAATCACAGCAGGGTTCTGATTGGTCACTGTGGATTGTACTTTGGAAGAACAGAGGGGCTCCATTTTGAGAATGAGAGATCTGTGTGTTGCCCAGTGTAACCAATCAGGTTCTTGTATGAACCTCCATTAGAGAAATGACCCCCTGCGGTATGATTGGTTCAGATTGGATAAAGGAGACTTGTATTTTACTTAAAGAGAATCTGTCACTTTGTCCCACTGATACTCGGTGTCGCTGCACTTTGTTGTTCTGCCAGAGCCCTGGGAAATACCCGGTCCTTCCAGGAGAATTTTTCCCCTTCCTTCCCAGATGTAGTGTTTAGGCCAGAGAGGCCAACATGTAGTGAAGGGGAGTAGATTGTATACTTGTGTGACTCTGACACAAAGCTTCTACAGGAATTAGACCCATGGCTCTGACATATGAACAATGTGGTAGGAGAGCATGGCAAAAGGTCATTATCACTGGGTTGGGGGGGAGCTTCAAGAGAACCTGTCACGCCCCCCTCAATGGGCAAACTTCCGTTAAATTAGTATAGCTGAGGATATCTCTCCCTGCTCCTATAGCCGAGCATATCGATCTTCCTGCTCCTATAGCTGAGCATATCTATCTTCCTGCTCCTATAGCTGAGGATATTGATCTTCCTGCCCCTATAGCTGAGGATATCGATCTTCCTGCTCCTATAGCTGAGGATATCGATCTTCCTGCCCCTACAGCAGAGGATATTGATCTTCCTGCCCCTATAGCTGAGGATATCCATCTCCCTGTCCCCTGTAGCTGATGATATTGATCTTCCTGCCCCTATAGCTGAAGGTTTCTATCTTCCTGCCCCTATAGCTAAGTATATTGATCTTCCTGCTCCTATAGCTGAGGATATCGATCTTCCTGCCCCTATAGCTGAGGATATCTATCTTCCTGCCCCCATAGCTGAGGATATCTATCCTCCTGCCCCTATAGCTGAGGATATCCATCTCCCTGTCCCCTGTAGCTGATGATATTGATCTTTCTGCCCCCATAGCTGAGGATATTGATCTTCCTGCCCCTATAGCTGAAGGTTTCTATCTTCCTGCCCCTATAGCCGAGGATATCTATCTTCCTGCTCCTATAGCTGAGCATATCTATCTTCCTGCCCCTATAGCTAAGTATATTGATCTTCCTGCTCCTATAGCTGAGCATATCTATCTTCCTGCCCCTATAGCTAAGTATATTGATCTTCCTGCTCCTATAGCTGAGCATATCTATCTTCCTGCCCCTATAGCTGAGCATATCTATCTTCCTGCCCCTATAGCTGAGCATATCTATCTTCCTGCCCCTATAGCTGAGGATATTGATCTTCCTGCCCCTATAGCTGAGGATATTGATCTTCCTGCCCCTATAGCTGAGGATATCGATCTTCCTGCCCCTATAGCTGAGGATATCTATCTTCCTGCCCCTATAGCTGAGGATATCTATCTTCCTGCCCCTATAGCTGAGGATATCTATCTTCCTGCCCCTATAGCTGAGGATATCGATCTTCCTGCTCCTATAGCTGAGGATATCTATCTTCCTGCCCCTATAGCTGAGGATATCTATCTTCCTGCCCCTATAGCTGAGGATATCTATCTTCCTGCCCCTATAGCTGAGGATATCGATCATCCTGCTCCTATAGCTGAGGATATCTATCTTCCTGCCCCTATAGCTGAGGATATCTATCTTCCTGCCCCTATAGCTGAGGATATCTATCCTCCTGCCCCTATAGCTGAGGATATCTATCTTCCTGCCCCTATAGCTGAGGATATCGATCATCCTGCTCCTATAGCTGAGGATATCTATCTTCCTGCCCCTATAGCTGAGGATATCTATCTTCCTGCTCCTATAGCTGAGGATATTGATCTTCCTGCCCCTATAGCTGAGGATATCGATCTTCCTGCTCCTATAGCTGAGGATATCTATCTTCCTGCTCCTATAGCTGATGATATTGATCTTCCTGCCCCTATAGCTGAGGATATTGATCTTCCTGCCCCTATAGCTGATGATATTGATCTTCCTGCCCCCATAGCTGAGGATATCGATCTTCCTGCTCCTATAGCTGAGGATATTGATCTTCCTGCCCCTATAGCTGAGGATATTGATCTTCCTGCCCCTATAGCTGAGCATATCTATCTTCCTGCCCCTATAACTGAGGATAGCCATCTCCCTGTCCCTTGTAGCTAAGTATATTGATCTTCCTGCCCCTGTAGCTGAAGGTTTCTATCTTCCTGTCCACAGTGACCAATCAAGACTTTTGCACCCGGTGCTTTTCAAAGCATTTCATTGGATGCCAGCTTGGAAATCTTGCATGTCTATAGAAACACTGAGCATGTATATTGTATAAATATCTGTGTGTACTGTAAAGGAACCGAGTGTGCGAACGATATACCGGAGCCAGTACTGTATAAGCAGTCCGTCTGTTTTTTTAAAGAAGAATTCATTTTTATTTATTTAGATTGATTATTATTGTATATATCTTCTATGACTTGTCACACGTATACATTGATAGATGGGACCCCCACCCATGGTGTTATTTCTGTTTGTGTTAAAGGGGTTGTCCACCTTCAGTTGACTTTACTGATTTGTTTGTATGAGCCAAACTTTAAATCGGAATTGAAGGCAAACATCTAAATTCACAGATAATGTAAGTTTGAGGTCTTACCTGCCAGAATGATTGTATTCAGAACCTTTTCTAATTCAGACATCCCTGGGCGACAGCACTATCAGGATGTGACCTCACCTTTCTCTAATGCACACCCACCCCAGCCTGTCATTGGAAATTTAAGAGAAGCCAAACACCGATGAAGTCAAAGTAGACCTAACGGCCAACTTTTTTTTTTAACGTTTTAATCGGGTTTTAATTGCCGTTTGTATCCTATGAGAATATTTCCCCCCACTTTGTGTACCAAAGGCACCACAGGAAGTCAGAGGAAATCTCTCTATAGCAGGGGGGGGGCAAACTGGTCCTCCAACTGTGGTGACGCTACAAATTCCATCATGTATCTGGCTCTGAGAGTCATGGCTGTCAGTGTTGCAATGCCTCATGGGACTTGTAGTTGCACCACAGTGGGAGGGCTGGAGGAGATCCCCTGTTAAAAAAAAGTTTTCACACAAATACCCCCCCCCCCCCCATTGGTAGCCTTTCCCCCTCCCCTGTATCCGTGACATCTGTAACATGTTAGATTTCCCATCAATTTTTTTGTTTCGATGATAATGGTCACCAGGAAAATAGAGAGACTGAATCTCCCCAGCTGACTGCATGAGAATGTGCTGACAAGGAATGTGTTGATAGCAGTACAGGGCAGAGCAGTGGTGTCACTAGGATTGTGCGGTGGTGCAGGCCACACCTGGGTGACACCATTGGAGGGGTAAACGCCTCTGCAAAGTCGGGCACTCGGTCATGGACCCGAGAGCCCAACAGTTGCTTGAGTGGGGCACCTGGCAACATACCTCATCCTGCCGGGTGAATGTCCTTTCTTCTCTCTGCCGGCGTCCATCACCAAGATAGCTGCCGGCAGGTAAGAGCGCACCTAATGACCTAATTAATCTGCTTCTTTTCTTTTCAATGTCCAAAAAGCACGCTGGCAGGTGGGGAGAGGACAGTGCTGTATTCCGTCTACACTTTATAACCTAAACAGGAGGACAGCTGTAGTGAAACTACAGGGCACATGCAAGACTCTGACAGGCAAAGGCATGACTTCTAAAGGCAGATGCATGATGGAATTTGTAGTCTCACCACAGCTGGAAGGCCGAATTTTGGCTTCCCCCCCAGCTGTAAAAGAGAAAGTGGTGTCACCCGCCAACCATTGTTATGTTAATCTCCAAACTGGATGGACTGGAATACAAGTGGTTTGGCCAGTATAACAGGTCGCGTACATGTATTTCCTCTATGTATTGAGCTGTTTGCCTGGAGTTGCGCTGCGATAGGAAGACAGATTTTAGGTAATTGCGATACAAATGGCTCCTTACCCGGACTGATAGCGAAATGTTTACATTTGCCAAGAAGTCAGCTCAGAGTGGAACACCCCTTTAAGTAGCCTCCTGTACCCTGCATGCTACAGAATGTATTCCCTGTTGGTGGAAATACAGAAGATATGTAGCAGTGTTCTCTTTTCCTAGTGTAATCTGTATGTCTGTGCTCTCTGCACCCTTCTTCCTGTCTCCCTGTAGCATGACTTTGCGAAGTTCCTTCATTCTCCTCCTGTTAATCAGCACTACCTGGCTTTTCGGGCTTCTGGCTGTTAATAACAGCATTCTGGCCTTTCACTACCTCTATGTTCTCCTCTGCAGCCTGCAGGTAAAAAAAATGTTCATTTAAAGGGTCACTTCATCCTAAACCAGTATGTCATTTAAGGGTGGACGCTTGCAGCTTGAATCACCCGCTGTAATAAAGTGTCTCTCCGATTTCTTGCCAAACCGCCACCACGAAAAAATCCAGCGATTGCGTGTGAGACTTGGAGTGGACACTGGAGGTGGGCGGAGCTGGGAACTCAATTGCAGAGATCTAATCACCGGAGTGGTCCAGGGGGTGGTGGGTGATTCAAGCGTCAAGTGAAATATTAGTCTTGAGTGTTCTGCCACATTTAGGGCCCGTTCACACTATCCGGTACGTTCAGCGCCATGCGGTGCCATGAACACACTGGATTGCATACACAAACCCTCCCTGCGTTCTTGGGCGGGAGGGGCATGGTGCTGCCTTTCATTCTGATGGCACCGCAGACACGCCCTGTCCAGAGGGCGATCGGCTGCACCAGAAGTCGTGGTACCGCAGTGCCCTGCGTTCCCAGTGTGGTGCGATCGCACTACACTGGAATGCAGGTCATTGCGGTACCACACGTTCTGATGCGGGGGATTGCACTGCGGGTGGGAGGCGTGTCTGCGGTGCCATTGGAACGAATGGCACCACCACACCCCCGTCCCGCCCCAGAACGTGGGGAAGGTTTGTGTATGTGATCCAGCGCGTTCATGGCACGGAACCGTGCCTTGAACGCACTGGATAGTGTGAACGGGCCCTGAAACACAGGCATATCTTTGGAATTTAAAGTGTAGCCATCACTCAAGGCAGAGGCAGCCATGTTCTGGACAAGAAATACAGCCTATGAATCCACTAGGACTCAGTGACATCTCTTTGATGTCATTGATTCTCAGTGAATTGATAGGCTGATTATTTTTTATCTGGTTTGCTCACAAAATGGCAGCCTTGTATGTTTAGGGGGGTGGCAGGCACACTTTAAAAATGATGTATCATCATGTAACTGTTGTTTTTTCATTAAATATCACTGCTGGGCTTTTTTGGAAATGTAACATATAATGTCAGCGCAGTCACCCAAAGCTCTACAGATCAATCACATGTCATTTGTAATTACATTTATCTCTTTATACCGCTTTGTAGTTTCTCTTGATGAGCCAGAATAGTGAATGTTGTAAGATTTTTGCTGCCGCCCTTCCTGCATGAGAAATGGCCTCAGCTGTCAGTTTTCTTAGCAGGCATGTTGTTTCTTGAAGCAGGTGCAAGTTTTCTTTTTACAGGTGTGTTCTTGTAGCAGTAGAGCTCCTCTTCACTGTGTTTCGTCTGACTGTCTAAGTAAGCGTTTCCCACCTTTTATTTGTGTCATGGCACCATGTAAAAAATGCAAAAGCTCGAGGCGCCTCAGTCTAAAATGTAGAAAACAAAGCGTTGTTCCCCCAAAAATCCATATCAGACCCTTATCTTCAGTAAGAGTCAGGTATGCATGTTTTCACCTCTGGTAAGAGGTGGCCCCATTGAAGAAAAGAAAACATATTTTGAGATTCTCCCTTCACATCAGACTCCCTTTTCATATCAGGTGCCCCCCTTTTATATCAGGAGCCCGTTTCACTTTAGAATCCCCTTGCATATCAGAAGCCCCCTTTACATTAGAGTCTTCCTCTTTCATAATAAAGTCCCCCTTTTCACATCAGGAGCCCCCTTCACATCAGAGTCCCCCTTCCACATCAGGAGCCCCTTTCACATCAGAGTCCCCCCTTCCACATCAGTAGCCCCCTTCACATCAGAGTCCTCCCCTTCCACATCAGGAGCCCCCTTCACATCAGAGCCCCCTCTTTCATATCAGCAGCCCCCTTTACATCAGAGTCCTCCCCTTCCACATCAGGAGCCCCCTTCACATCAGAGCCCCCTCTTTCATATCAGCAGCCCCCTTTACATCAGAGTCCCCCCTTCCACATCAGGAGCCCCCTTCACATCAGAGCCCCCTCTTTCATATCAGCAGCCCCCTTTACATCAGAGTCCTCCCCTTCCACATCAGGAGCCCCCTTCACATCAGAGCCCCCTCTTTCATATCAGCAGCCCCCTTTACATCAGAGTCCCCCCACCTTTCATAATAAAGTCCCCCTTTTCAAATCAGAATTCCCCCTTCACATCAGCAGCCCCCCCCCCCTTTACATCAGAGTCCTAAGTTCCCCTTTCACACCAGAGCCCTACCTTCCCATCGCGGCTGTGGCAGAATGTCGGAGGGCCGGAGGTGGAGCAGGTCTGGACGGAGGTGAAATTCTGTCTTTGGAATGCTGGGGGAAGTCCAGGATGTTGTCTGTTCTAGATTATTATTATGTACTCTCATAGTGCCGGCGCCATGGAAACTCCTGATGCTGTGCGAAAAATTGACAGCACTCCTGAAAAATCCAGACAGCACCCCCATTGAGAAAGGCTAGTTTAAGGTATCAGTTGTCAAGAGGTGACATGATGTGCTATAGTCTATGTCTAGCCAAAATGTTTGTTTTTAGATAGTGAGGAAGGGTTAGAACCCCTGATGTTTACAGAGTTTTCACAGCTGCTATCTGAGGGTTGGCAGATACTTGTGACAGGAGAGAAGGTGTAATAAAGATCTTACAACAGCCTCTATACACGGGTACTGTTACATGAGAAAGCAAGAGAAATAGAATGGGAGTCGCCTTAAGTGACATGAGATTTAATACTAAGATGTGAACGCGTCGGTCCGCTTCCCTACCAGCTGAGAAATACTATAACATCTACATCAGGAATCTCCAGGTAAGAAGCTCATAGAATGCCCGGCCGGAATCTTGCGGAATATTGTGCTATCATTTCCGGCTGATACATTGTAATGATTATTACATATCGTCTCTTCGCTCTTCCAACAGGGATTGGCCGTGCTGGTCCTCTTCTGTGTCCTCAATGAGGAATTCCAGGAAGTGTGGAAGGTTGTATGTTTTGGCAAGAAAGTGCAGGGAGAGGAGGCAGCGAGACAAGCGCCAATGGGGGTAATACTTCAGTCATTGAATATATTATGATATGAGTTGCACAATCGGTAAGAGCTTTGTCCGGGCTTTGGACTTTGATGCCAGTTTATGTGTTGTTCAGTGTTTTATGGCAGTTCCTGAGCTGCATTGTCATTTTAGTGATCAGGTCAACAACACAACCAGGGTTAGTCACTAAGCTGCCGGAGGCACAGCCGGCTCCGCCCAGTTGATGTCACAGCCGGCTCCGCCCAGTTGTCATTGTTTAATGACAGTTCAGCGTCCCCAGGTCATTTGGGGATGCTGATCTGTCATTACAACGGGGCGGAGCCAGCCGTGCGATCACGGCTGGCTCCGCCCAGCTGCCATTTGCAAGGCCTTCAGCCGGCCGTTCGCCGCGCTTCGGGTGTCACTTCGACTCAGTGGAGCCAAAGCATTGTGAATAGCCCATACAGCATCCCTTAAGTTCGACTGAACCGAAGGGCTCCCGCAACCGAAGCTAGCCGAAGGATCAGCCAAAGCTTCGGCTGATCCTTCGGCTAGCTTTGACCCCCTATATGTTTTCACATAGAAAAAAGTGCCGAAAAATACCAGAAATCTAGTGACTTTCTGTTGGAGGTGACAACACAATGTCGCTGCTGCAATGATATCCCCCTGGAACACCTCTTCCTAATGTTATGGTGATGATGGGAGGGGGGGGAGTTCTGTAGTCCAGCAGGGGAGAATTCAGGAAGGGCTAATAAAGGTGATTGGGATTTCAGTGCAACACAGGCATCGTGTTGTCAGCTCACTGCAGGAAGTTAGAAGCACACTGGATTTCTGTCAGATCAACAGGCAAAGGGTCTTTGTGTACTACTCCTTTTTACAGTTTTAGGATTGAAAGAAGGATGAAAGGAGAATTATGGGGAGAGTGAAATGCATAGTCGGCTCTGTGAGAGTTGAGCGATCAAAAACCGCTGATCGCTCAGCTAACGATCTTCTCCCTGCAGTCACCACTCCCTGCAGGGATTTCCCCTCTCTGTTCCTTATTGGATGGACAGACATGGGAGGGGGTGGGCACAGATGTCTCTGGCTCTAAAGAGGCAGAAGTAGCTATCAATAAGGCAGCGGGGTGGATCCCGACAATATTGTATGGATCTTTCACGGCTGCAGCGCGGGTCTGTGCTGTCAGCATATAGCAGGCTTGCGCGCTATATGCTGAGTTTTGCGTCATCAGAATAAATGTCCTCCTGTGACCCAAAAGAAAATGAATGCCAAAAAAGGTTTGGCCATAGTTCTCTTTTAAGATTTAGATAAAGAACGGTTGGGTCTAAGCACGACACTGGAAGTTTGGGGGTTACAGTTTTGGGTACATTACTTAGTTTGAGGTTTTTGTGTATCGTTATTGCTGGATTTCCGTTATTACCGTTTTTGATGTTATCTGGGATGCTATTGGACAGCGGGTCTCACTCTTACATAGAAGCCCGCCAGCCACAACAGGTACATGTAACTGTGAACATTCACCGTACCTAAAACTACTTGAAGTAATGACTTTGTTATTTGTTGTTTTCAGGGTCCAAATGCTTACAATAACACGGCATTGTTTGAGGAGAGCGGTCTGATCCGAATCACGTTAGGAGCTTCCACGGTGTCTTCTGTCAGCAGCGTCCGCACAGCGCGCACCCACTCCAGCCACAGGCCATATTTGAGGTCAGTTGTCTGCAGGATGCTCTCGTGTATTCTCAGGTAGCAGAAGGTGTGAGCATTCTCAGGAGGGTAACAGATGAAAGTAAATAGAAACAAATTCAAAACCCAGATTCGCATTGAAGTCAATGGAGGCTGTTCACACCTTTGCGGTTTGTCGCGCAGACAAAATCGCCTGTCACGCAAAAAGGTGCAGGAGCTATTTTCGGGCGGTTCGGGTCCCATAGACATCTCTGCTTTGAAAACCGCACGACAACCGCTCAGAAATATCTCACCAGCTCAATCGCCTAGGTGTGAACCTAGCCTAACCCTTCCCAACAGTATCCAAATCTAGACATTTTAGCTGGAGTTGGGCTTTAAATCAGGGAACGTGCGGTTGCTTTAAATATGCAGGTAAATGTGATCTGATGAATGCGAATAATGTCATTAAACAAATAATTATTTAATAAATTGTGTTTCTGGGTGTAATTTGTAGACATGTATGTGGATGTGGGCAGGTGTCATTTGTGCACGCAAAATGAGCTTGGCCTTGCTTCCTGCATAGTAGTTCTTACATGGTGACTGTACATTACTGCTCCTCTGTCTCAGTGCATCTCCATCAGTCTGTTCCAGGTGATGGGTGTTGTCTTTTTTTTTCTCTTCTTTTTTTCTTTTTCCCTTTCTTTTTCTTCTATCTTTCTCCCTTCTTGTTATTTCCTTCTTAAAGGAGAACTATGAGGTGAGTGCTTTTCACTCACCTCATAGTTCTAGCCGACCTGTGACAATGAGACTGTCACAGGTCGGCTCAGTAGATCGGGAGGTGAGCGAACACATACCGGCGTTCGCTCACCTCTCGATCCTGTCACAGCTCTCTGCCGTGACAGGGGAGGGGCTGGATTCCCCGCTCCCATCCTCCAGCGCTGACTGGCGGAACGGGAGGGGGCGGGTACAGCTGGCTCTGCCTCTAGATAGGCAGAGCCAGCTGTCACTCACGCAGCTGGGCGGATCCAGACATAATTGTCGTGATCCGCTCCGGCTGCGGCGTCTCAGTATACCGCGAGCAGTAGCTTGCGGTATACTGAGCCTAGGGTGACGGGAGGACGCTATTTTGTGTTCTCCCTTGACCCTTAGGAGAACTATGGGGAAAAGCCCTGACCCCATAGTTCTCCTTTAACGAACAGTCTTTCCATTCTCATTGTCTGGCGGGAGGGGTAATCTTGTCCACCAGAATGAACTACCATGTGTAGACATAGTGAGAAATAGCAATACTCTTATTGCTAAGAAAATAATTATAAAATTACCCCTCCCCCCCCCCCCCTTACTAAGAAGCGGGCTCCTATGGTCTAACTATGCACAGCTAACGAGACTATTAAGGCCTTAAATACTCTGAAAAGGAGGGGGGTATAGTGTCTATACTAAAGATAACCAGATGATTGGCTATGATGCACATGATATTTGATTATAATAAATTATCTCTGTATAAAGAATGGAAAAACCAATAAAAACTTTGAAACGGGGAGTTGTTATAATGGGAAGCGTGGAATACGGCTTCATATGCAATCTGCTTGTGTGATTGCTGTGTCATTTCTCAGCAGGCTTTCTTTGCCGCTCCTCCAATATATGCCAAACAGAAGGTCCAACGTCATGTGATTGACATGCAAAAGTTTTTTTGTTTTTTTTGTTCAGTCATAGATACACCGGAAAGTAGAAAGGTCAACCATTTTGGGTGTTCTTGACCTGCGGGCTCGAGAAAGGGCAGGGACACCCGAAGCGCTTTTGAAAGTAACATTGTAATAAATTAAATAAATGTTTCTTATTCTCAGGGAAAACATGGCAGCTCGCAAGGGATCAGCTAAGGACCACAGCTTGCTCAGTCATCACTCAGGACCCACCGACCTAGATGTAGCCATGTTTCATCGAGACGCAGGAGGAGGTAAAGACAAAACTGTGCCCGTCACTGGTGGCCTGTCGGAAGGAGACACTTTGGAAGTGCTTCAATGGGGACATGTTGCCATCAGCACCCAGTTAGGTTTTTCCTGACCTGTCCAAACGTGCACAAGGCGCAGTAACTTGATTGGTCAGGTTGGGTAATAACTCTTCCTTGTATACTGTGTAGCACAACTTCTGTTTTCTAGTCCTCTTACATCTTCTGTGATCTCCTCAGGGCAAGATTCGGACTCGGACAGCGACCTGTCCCTGGACGAGGAACGCAGCCTGTCCATCCCCTCGTCAGAGAGTGAAGAAAACGTCCGCCCTCGCGGCAGGTTCCAGCGCCAGTTCAAAAGAGCGGCTCATAGCGAGAGGCTCCTCACCAACCCGTCCAATCACAACCCTAAAGGTGAGTCCACCAGGAGGGAACGTAGAATCTCCTTACAAAGTCTTCGACTTCATAGTCTGTAGCACCCTATTTTATAATAGTTCTGAAAAATTGGTGACAACATGACGGACATGACTCACTGATTCCGAGAGGCATTACTAGAGACGATGTGTTTATGACAGGGATGGCCAAACTGCGTCCTCCAGCTGTGGTGGAACTACAAATCCCATGAGGCTTTGCAAGATTCTCACAGACATGACTCCGGGAGAGAGATGCTTCATGAGATCTGTAGTTTCAACACAGCTGGAGGGCCGGAGTTTAGCCATCCTTGTTTTATGAGGATTAGGATACGGCCTGTATAGGGCAAGTAGCAGATTAGAAGTTTACACAAATATCTAATGATTCCCTGGCATATCTGCTCATAAAACCCACAGAAGTGGCCATACAACCAGATAGACATTGTACTAAGACCCTCAATTTTTTCCCTTTCCTGATACAGCAGTTTTGCACGGTGCCTAAATATGACTGTTCAGTCCATTAGGGACCCGAGATAGACCCAATGCTCTTGGTAATTCACTCCTTGTTAGCTGTGCCCCGTCTCTTCCTCTGTAATACAATCTGTGTCTTGGAACTTGTGTGGCTATTACTCAGCTCTGCCAGCATAGAGCCCTTAAAGGCGAGAGCAAAAAGCTGCATTTTTAGTAAGAGAAGAAGGAATAGCAAAACATGCAGAGGAACAGGACTATAAAGACATAAAAGATGTAAGACTCTTAACTTGCTCCATTTTTTTTTTTTACAAGCGTATATTGTACAGAAGAGTGCCCCCAGATATACCAGCTCAGGGTAGGATCTTATCATGAAACACACCACCACATCAACATATCTCTTCTCTAACCTTACATCTCTAAGGACAGCACAATATAAAAGTTGTTCTGCTTGATTCTGACTGGCATCTGGGCTAGTATCAACAAGGTGGGGGTCCACAAGCTCACAAGCATTTTTCAATGGGGTATCCATATGTTGAGGTTCAAAGAACCACTTACCAGTTCACTGCAGGCATTCTAGAGTGTGAAGGGGATATCAATCAGGAAGGCTAAAAGAAAAGCACTAAGTTAAAAAATGTACTGCTTCTTAAAGGAGAATTATGAGGCGAGTGATTTTCACTCAGCCTCATAATCTGAGCCGACCTGTGACAATGAGACTGTCACAGGCCAGCTCAGTACAGTAGATCGGGAAGTGAGCGAACACATACCGGCGCTCGCTCACTTCTCGATCTATCCGTGCAGAGAGCCGTGACTGTCACTCACGGCTCCCTGCAGGGATCCCCCCCCCCCTCCCCTGTCCGATCCTCCAGCGCGGTATACTGAGCTTTGGGTGACGGGAGGACGCTAGTTTGTGTTCTCCCGTTACCCTTAGGAGAACTATGGGGGAAAGCCCTAACCCCATAGTTCTCCTTTATCTGGGCCTATGACATCACAGGGGATGGGAATTCTTGCCCAATAACCTGCTGCAATATTAAAAGCAAATGACAACTTACAAGTTCTTTAAGAGAAAAGTGCCCCCCATACAGCAACCTGTGCTCAAAGAGAGCCCCCCTCATTCTGGGTGACCTTCAATGTGGAGCTCTTACATAATTACATTGTAACTATGTAGGATCCCCATTGGGTGGTATTCAATGGGGACCTTACACAATTACTATGTAAGATCCCCATTGGAGGAAACCCTATAATGAGGGGGAACCCATAGTCTCTTTGAGCACAGGTTGCTGAATGGGGGGCACTTTTCTCTTAAAGAACTTGTAAGTTGTCTTTTGGAACACTTTTACCAGACACCTGTTATGCCAGTCATATCAGATATTTGCGTGGTTGAGCTGCTAATGGACTCCATTCTGTTAAATGACTGGCAGAGCAGATTTTCCATTACTTGCTCTACTCCAGTTCAGCACTCTGAATGGTTGTCTTCAATGTGGATTTAAAGGATATCTAAACCAAATCTAAATAGACACCATCTTTTCTTCCAGACATGGATGGCAATGATTTGATGTCCTACTGGCCAGCTCTGGGTGACGCGGAGGTTCAGGCCAACTCGCTGCAGAAATGGGGCTCTGAGAGGAAACTTGGCCATGATGTCAGCAAGGATGCGGCTAACAACAACCAACCGGACCTGACCAGTGGCGACGAACATTCCTTGACGTCTCACAGACAGAGAAAAGGTCGGTGGGGCGTAAAGTAATAAGGATCCCAGAATTGCTGCAGCGGCTTTTGGCCGGCCCCTGCGGAACATCATTAGAATTTACATTGCACAGTTTCAGCTGCATAACATTCAACTGTTTCATCTTGCTGGTGATATAATGATATAATGAGCAGGGGCGTCCCGAGGCTGGTTGACACCCGGAGCGGTAACAGAGTGTCACACCGCCGAGACGTCACTGCGCGTGACGTCATCGTGCACACGCGGCAGCATTCTGATACCTGCCGGCGCCCATCTTGGTGATGGACGCCGGCAGAGAGGAGGGGACAGTCACCCGCCGGGTCCCCTCCTCTCCCCTGATACTGTCGGGCGTTCGGTCCATGACCGAGCGCCCGACTTTTCAGAGGGGGGTGACACCAAAATGACTGTGAGACATTTTGGTGTCACCCCTCCATTGGTGTCACCCGGGTGCGGGCCGCACCCCCCTTGTGACGCCACTGATAGCGAGGCAGCGGTTACCTCCTATTTGTTTTTTGCTATACCTCCGTAAACCTCTTCAAATAACCAATGTGCCAGTGCGAGATGTTTACATTTTGGTTACACTGCCATGTGGGTGCTGAAGATGTGTAGGGCATTGGAATGTTCTCCTAACAGTTCCTGGTGTGCACAGACCCATCTTCATTCCATTGGTACATCTGTTCCTACAATTCCCCATGCTGACTAAGAAATTGGATTGTTTGCCATTGGGCACGGCTTGTAGAAGTATTGCTAGTTAAAAAGCGTCGTGCAAGCTTACTGGAAAAGGTAGTAAATGCTACTTAGAATGTAATCAGGAAAGTGGAATTGAGCTTTGAAGATGAACGTGGATTATGATGACTTTAAACTGTGATCAGGAGCACTGAAGTCCTCCTCTCAGCAGCTCAGCTCATCCTGCTTCCCCATCACAGCAGTGATTCAGCAGCTCTACTCACCTTGCCCTCCTTCCCATCTTTTCAGAGGGCGTGACACCGAAATGACTGTCAGTGATTTTGGTGTCACCCCTCCAATGGTGTCAACCAGGTGCGGGTCGCACCCCCCTTGTGACGCCACTGCCTCCTGGCAGTCTCTCAGCAGCTCAGCTTCCCTGCTCCCCCA